ATTCTTGATTTTAGTCATTTTTGTCTTCTCTCTTACTTTGTTGTTCAGTCTAGGTAAAGCATTTGTTATTTGTTAAACTTTTCAAAAAGCCAGCTTTTGGTTTTGTTGATTTTTCTCTACTTACCCATTTTCTATTGCATTGACTTATTTCTTAATCTTCATTATTTTCTTCCTTCTGCTTGCATTGTGTTTAGTTTACTCTTTTTCTGGTTTCCTAACTTGGAAGCTCAGGTTTTAAATTTGAAACCATTCTTCTTTTCTGATACAGGCATTTAAAGCTAAAAATGTCTGTCATATGGAATGCAGCATTGTTTTAGCTACATCCATACAATTTGATATGTTGTGTTTTCATTTTTATTCAGATCAAAATATTTTTAAGTTTCCTTTATGAATTCTTTGATCCATGGATTATTTAGAAGTTTGTTGTTCAATTTCTAGATATTTGTGTTTTCCCATTTCTTACAATAGTGGATCACTAATGTATGTTCTGGTTATAGAACATGCTTTATATGATTTCAGTCTTTTTTAGTTTTTTGAGACATACTCCTACCTTGAGACCTCACTCTAATATCAGCATGATAGACACCCTTGCCTTCTTTAGGTCTTCACTCAAATAGCGCCTTTTCGTGAGACCTATCCAGACCAAAATTAAAAATAATGACAACGCTGTAGCTCTTCCAATCTTATCTTGTATTTTTTGCTTTTTTATAGCACTCCTACCTTCTAATATGCCGTGTAATTCACTTAGCTCTACAAAGGGAGGAATTTTTATTTATTGATGTGTTCCTAAATATTTTTGAGTGTATTTACTAATCTATTCATCCACTTGGACATATGTAGCTGAAATTTGTTCACTTTCTTTGGATAATAGTATTTCATCATAAATGTACCAGAATTTTATAATTAATTCTTCTTGGATGAACATTTGTATTTTTGCTAATTGTGGGCAATTATAAATGGCAATGATCTGAAAATTCTTATTATCGTGTCCTAGTACATATATGCGTACATTTTTCTAAGAATACATGTGGGAGTGGAATTGATGTGTTGTATGCTGAGCATAACTTCAACATTAGTAGATGATGACATGTTGATTTGCACTGTGTGTACACATTACCACCAGCAATATGTGAGGGTACCAGTTGCTCTACAACTTCACTGACATGTAGTGTTGACATTCTTTTTAATTTTTGCCAATATGTTGGTTTTCTATTAGTATCTTATTCTCTTCCTAATTTGCGTTTCCCTGAATTCTAATGTGGTTGAGCACACTTGTATATAATTATTTTATTTATTTTATTTATTTTTTTCAACTTAGAGACAGGGTATCACCATGTTGCCCAGGTTGGTCTCGAGCTCCTGGGCTCAAGTGATCCTCCTGCTTCGGCCTCCCAAGTGCTGGGATTACAGGTATGAGCCACCACGCCCCGCCCGCATATATGTGTATTTCCTCTTTTGTGAGACATCTATTCAGTATTTTGCCCATTTTCCTAATGGTTGTTCATCTTTTTCTTATTGATTTGTAGGAGTTATTTATGTATTTTAGATTTAAGTTCTCTGATAATTCTTTGTGTAGCAAATATCTTCCTAATCTGTGGCTTTTTGTGTGTATGTCCATCTCTTTATGACATTTTGATGAACAGAAGTTCTTAATTTTAATGTAGTTTAATTTATCAATCTTTTCCTTAATGGTTATTGCTTTTTGTGTCTTAGGAAATACTTATATAACTACTCTCATGCCTTGCTGGTGGAAATACAGAATAGTATAACTTCTACAGAGTGAAATTTAACAATACATAGAAAAATTACATACACATTTACCCTTCGTCTCAGCAATTCTGCTTCTTAGAATCTATTTCAAACATATACTGGAAAAATACCAAATCCTGTTTGCACAAAGCTGTTTATCAGGACATTATTCGTAACAGTCTAAGACTGGATACAAGACCAATGTGTGGGGAATAGTTGAATAAACTATGGTACATCCACACATGGAGTACTGTGCAGCTATAAGAAGGAATGAGAAGAGCTCTACACATTAATATGGAACTATCTCCAGGATATATTGTTAATTACAAAAAGTAAATTGTAGAACAGTGCTTATAGTAAGTTACTTTTTATGTAGGAGAGAGGTATAACTAATGAATTATGTGTATGTATGTATATACCTATTTGTTTATATTTTCAAAAAAGAAACAATGAAACCATAAGCCAAAACCTAATAAAAATGATTATTTATGGGGAGTGAAAGGAATGAGATAAAGAGGACAGAAATGGAAGTGAGACTTCTGTGAAGGTATTGTATAACAGTTTTACTTTAGATCCATGTAAATATTTTGCTTCATTTAAAAGTTTAATCAAAAAGGTAAAAATCAATCCCTAAAATTAAAAAACAACCTGAAGCAAATTAGCCTGATGATAAAGTTAATAACATAATCCACACAATTGGAAAACAAAAGAAAACAATTACTTACACTGACTTTAAAAACAACATTTGTATATTTCCAGTGGGGTCCATATTCTTAGGGCAAAAGTAACTGCAAAGAAATATAAAACTATATTCAGCAGTTTTATTGGTGATAGTATTGTTACTGACATTTTAAAATTCTATAAGTATATTGTAGGAAGAAGCTAATAAATCATTTTGCTAACATTATTTTAAGCATATGAGAGGAAATACAACTCTAAAATGAAGGAGTTTAAGTAAAAACCTTGTTATCTCAAATTTGAGTTGGAAATACCAATATAAACTCACGATTTACTTTTCCCTTTCAAAATGTCCCTCTTGCTCAGCAAACTAACACAGGAACAGAAAATCAAACGCTGCATGTTCTCACTCATAAATGGGAGGTGAACAGTGAGAACACATGGACACAGGAAGGGGAACATCACATACTGGGGCCTATGGAGGGAAAGGGAAGGGAAAGCATTAGGACAAATACCTAATGCATGTGGGGCTTAAAACCTAGGTGATGGGTTGATAGGTGCAGCAAACCACCATCCCACAAGCATACGTATGTAACAAATCTGCATGTTCAGCACATGTATCCCAGAACTTAAAGTAAAATTTTTTTTAATTAAAAAATAAAACCATTCCAGTGTATAATTAAAAAAAAAAGCCTTAGCTTTTGTCCACTGAAAAGGCCTGGAAACAATAACTCAGAAGTTGCTTCTGCACACACCAGCAACACAGTGTGGTTTCTAAATATCACTTCTTACTAAAAGGAAACAAGGGGCCTCACAAAAATATTCCAGGTTTGAGTTTGGAAGTGTGCAAGATGAGCTTAGGATATTTGGCTATGCCAGAAAGCCAGGAAGCAATACAGGAGCCAATCTGAAGGGTTTCCCAATGGTCCTAAGTGGGATGATAATACATTTTATTAACACAGATAAAATATATGAAAATACACTCTTTTATTACTATACTAAACATAACCATTGGTCACCATTGGACATTTCTTTTCTTTTCTTGTCTTTCTTCCTTCTTTCTGTCCTTTCTTTCTTCTGTTTTTTTTTGTGAGACAGAGTCTCGCTCTGTTGCCTAGGCTGGAGTGCAATGGCGCACTGCAACCTCTGTCTCCTGAGTTCAAGCGATTCTCCTGCCTCTGCCTCCTGCATAGCTGGGACTATAGGCACCCGTCACCACACCTGGCTAATGTTTATATTTTTAGTAGAGACGGGGTTTCACCATTTGGCCAGGCTGGTCTTGAACTCCTGACCTTGTGATCTGCCCTTCTCAACCTCTCAAAGTGCTGGGATTACAGACATGAGCCACTGCGCCCAGCCACCAGTGGACATTTCTAAGGTGTCAACTTTTACTCTCATAATTGATAAATAATGACAAAGAATCAAGCATTTATCCTGCCTTTCCCATATGATCTACATTTAGGGAAACTACATAGTTGATGACGGTAAGTTCACCATAGAATTCCAGATAATAAGCGCAAAAGAAATAATAGAATTAGGAAAGCCACAATTTGCAACTCTTAATAAATTAATATAGGTAATGGTCATCAATGGATGTAAAAAACCCATTAGGTGGAAGGTGAATGGGAAAATTTAGTAATGGGGTTATGAGACTAATATCACCTAGCACCTCAATTCACTGATGAATTTCAGCATCACTAAAAATGGGACCACCAAACATTATGTGCCTTATGACATGATACAATAGGAAGTACATATCTGTCTATAAGGAATCTAACCTGTAGATCAGCACCGCCTAATGTAACTTTCTGAAATGATGTAATAGTTTTTATCTGTTTTGTCCAATATGGTATCCACTAGCCACACGTGACTATCGAGCACTTTACATTCGCTAAGTTCGACTGAGGAACTGATATTTAAAAATTAATTTAAATAGACACGTGACCAGTGGCTACTATATTAGGTAGCATAGTTATAGATTAACTGCCAAGAAATAGAATGGAACGAACAAGTTAAACAACACCATCAGAAAATGATTAATCAAATTCGTTTGTTCATAGAACAAATGTAGTTTATTTAATCAATGGAGGAGGGAGAAAATGAAATAAAGGGGTAGTAGAGAAGAGGCACTGTTTTAGAATAAAACAATATTAAGAGATACAACAGCCAGAGGCAGGTTTAGATTCTGAATTGAATAACCAAGTATTAAAAAAACTTTGACATAATCAGGACAATTTGAACATGACATTGGTATTAGATGATACTAAGGAATTATTAATTTTGTGAAGCATAATGCTATATGGCTTATATTTTAAATGTCCTTATCAATTAAAGGTACATATATTTGCATGACTCTAGGTGCCTCACTTGCCTCACTGTCATTCTGGCCTATAGTTCTGCTTGAAATAACCTATCATAAGATAGCTATATACCATTGTCATTTGTCACAGGTCGTAAAGACCTGTCCCAGCAGTGTTTCTTTATCTGAGGTCCAGGATTTAATTTTTATTAATTTGTCAAAGGTTGTATTGGTAGGCTTTGTGGAACTTCCCTATCTCTTTGTCTTGATCCAGATGAACCCCAAAAGAAGAACAAAGGTGATCCCATGAACAACCTGGAAAGTTTTTATCAAGAGATGATAATGAAAAAACGTCTTGAAGAGTTCCAACTTATGAGAGGTGAACCCTTTGCTTCCCACTCACTGGTCTCAGCTCCATCAGTGGGTGATAGTGGCACAGCTGAGAACCCATCATTACTCGAGGACAAGGGAAAACAGGCAGCACAGGGTAAAGGTCCCAGTCTCCATGTGGCAAAAGTTATTGATTTTTCACCTGAGCAGTGTTGGACTGGGCCTAAGAAGCTGACGCAGCCAATAGAATTTGTCCCAGAAGATGAAATCCAGAGAAATCGTTTGTCAGAGGAAGAGATCCGAAAAATTCCTATGTTTTCTTCATATAATCCAGGGGAACCAAACAAGGTATAGGCCAAACCAAGTAAAACAACCTGGGTTGATTTCACTTTTATTTACCTCTACCTAAAGTAATCCTTTTAAATTAGCTTTGATGATACCAAAGAATCATGATACAGGCACAGTGATTGTGTTTGTCCTTGACCTTGACTATTTATTCTTTGCATACTATGTAAGTAGCATATTTCCTATAATGTTCTTGGTACTTTGCTAAGGTCCTGAACTCCTCTTAGCGTTTTAAAGAAATCTTGATAAGACTCTAGTCCATACCCATTAGGAGCCCTGAATTGAAGGAAAAGTAACCTCCAGTTTCCTACAGTGTAGTAATCAAATAGTGGTCATAGGACCACCATAGCTGGTAGCCATAGTGCCTCTGGAATTAGTCAGTAATTGACTGCCTGGTTGTGAGTAGGGTATATGCTACCACATGAGTCTTCTCTTCAGAATGCTTTACTTGGCTTTCATATGACATATGACTTAAGTTGCCATTGGCAAAGCAGCAAAGTGAAAAAGTCCTATAAGCTTTAAGAAATTATCCAACAAGGCCAGGCACGGTGGCTCACACCTGTAATCCCAGCACTTTGGGAGGCCGAGGTGGGCAGATCATGAGGTCAGGAGTTTGAGACCAGCCTGACCAACATGGTGAAACCCCCTCTCTACTAAAAATGCAAAAATTAGCTAGGCATGGTAGTGCATGCCTGTAATCCCAGCTACGCAGCAGGCTGAGGCAGGAGAATCGTTGAACCTGGGAGACAGAGGTTGCAGTGAGCCAAGATCGTGCCACCGCACTCCAGCCTAGCTACAGAGTGAGACTCTGTCTCAAAAAAAAAAAAAAAGAAAGAAATTGTCCAACATGTAACTAAATAACGTAAATATTTCTTATTTTATTGATCAAATCATTATTTCACATTCATGTTATATGTTACATCTGGATTGGAAAACTCTTCATTACTATGTTACCCAAAGAGACAACACAAGCCTTTGTAGCATATACTTTGTTGTGTCTAAAAAACAAAACCAAAATATAATGTTAGTTTTTGACTGTCTCTGAATTAAAAAAAAATAATTCTAGATTAGGGATATTAAAATCGTTTCTTTGACTGATTGAATTTCTAATAGTTCAGGGGTATTTATGCTATTAGTTCAAGGATAGCTTGATTTTTATTTACTTTTTGTTATGAAATATTAATATACCAAAAGTTATATCGAATAGTATAACAAATATCTATGTATCCAGCCAACCTTTATTAATCATTATAAGTTCCTAATATTTTCCCTATTTGCTTAATTAAAAAAATAAAGCATTATAGTTATTTCTGAAGACTTCCACATATCCCTTACATTGGTGAGGGATATGTGGAAGTCTTCAGGAATATCTATAATTTGCTCTTTATAATTTTATAAGTAATAAATATATAAATAGCAAATTTTATATATGTAACCTTTCCAGATGTAACCACTATCCTGAATTTGCTATTTATAATTCCTATGCATGTTTTTGTATTTTTACTACATAGCTGTATATTCACAAATAACATATAGTTTTATATGTTCTAATACTATATAGATGACATACTCTATCATTCTACAACTTTTTTGACTCAATATACATAATGTTTTTGAAATTTATTTCCAAAGATACAAGGAAGTATCTAGTATTCCATTGTAGAAATAGACCATAATTTATTTTATTTATCAGCTTCCCTGAAGATTTGTTCTTTCTGTTATTTTGCCATTACAGATAATTCTGCAACAACTATTATTACATATATCTCTTGTTGCACATACGCCAGACTTTTTCTAGGGCAATATTTTTCAAACTTAGGTTACAAATAGCAGGCCACAACCAATAGGATTTTTTTAAATGAAATGGAATAGAATAGAACATATCAAAAAGTATTCCTTACCAGTATGTTAAGGTAATTACTGTTTCTTAAAGCTTTTATATTATATGTGTTTGTGTATATGTGAGATGTGCGTGTGGGGCCACAATGAATAATGCAGTTTTTCCTGTAGATCTCAACAAAAGTGTTGGGAAGGTGTCACTGTTATAGTGGTTCTCAAATGTTGGTGTGCATCAGAATTGCCTGGAGGGCCTATTAAAGCACAGATTGTTAGTCTCCACCCCCAGAATTTTTGACTCAGTAGATCTGGAGTGGGGCCTGAGAATTTGCATTTCCACCAAGTTCCCAAGAGATTCTGATGCTGCTGGTCTGAGAGTGACAATTTAAAAGTCATTGTTCTAGGTTATAAACCTGGCAGTGGAATTACTGTGATATATAGGGTATGTATATCTCAACTTCTAATGAACAGGGTTTCAGAGATCTCTTCCCATTCTTGCCAAAACTTTGGAGTATTACACTCTTTATTTTCCCAACCTAATCAGTTTGAAAAGATATCTCATTGTTTTAATTTGCATGTTTCTGATTTCCAGTGAGGTTCTGTATGTATTGTTAACATTTATTAACCTTTCAGCAACTTTCTGTGAGTTACCTGTTATATTCCTTTGCCGAATATTTGTTTTTTCATATTTATTTATAAGGATTATTCTAAAATTCTGCATACAAGTCCTTTCTGTTGTTTATTTAGCAAATATCTTCTCCCAGTGGATGATTTTCCTTTTAACATTGTTCCTGATGTCTTTTGTTGAGTGAAGACTTTCATTTTAATGTTATCAGATTATTAGTATTTTATTCAGTGGTTTGTGCTTTTTGAGTCGTTTTAAGGAAATCCTTCCCTACAAATCAATAAGAAAAATACAAATGGCACAGTAAAAATGTTTATAAAAACAGATATAACAGGCAATTCACAGAGGCAAAAACACCAATGGCCAATAAACTTAAGAAATCTCATTAGTAATCAAGAAAGTGCAAAATAAATCTATACTATGATATATACATTTAGTACTTAGAATGCTGGCATATATTTAAAGGCCTGACAATGCCAAGTATTGGTGAGCATATGAAACAATAAGAACTCCATGTAATCCCAGCACTTTGGGAGGTCAAGGCTGGCGGATCACCTGTGGTCAGGTGTTTGAGATCCGCCGGGCCATGGTGGCGAAACTCTATCTGTACTAAGAATACTAAAAATTAGCTGTGTGTGATGGCACACACTTGTAATCTCAGCTACTCAGGAGGCTGAGGCATAAGAATCTCTTGAACCCAGGAGGCAGAGGTTGCGGTGAGACTCTGTCTCAAAAAAAAAAAAAAAAAAAAGGAGAAAGAAAGAACGAAACAGTAAGAACTCTAATATACCTCTAGGGGAATATAAATGAACACAGCCACTTCTGCTTATTTACCTCTGGGGGAATATAAATGAATACAGCCACTTCTGCTTGTTGTAATATTGTTTGTGAGAAACATTCATGTTCATTAGGAGTATTGGTAAAACATGGTATGTTTATAAACTAGAATACTATACAGTAGAGAAAATGAATAAAATAGAATTATAGGTATCAATGTGGATGAAACTCACAAACATAATTTTGAATACAAATAACTAGTTGCAGATTTCTAGTTTCAGCTTCAACATGTGAAGTCCTTAGAAGTCATCACTCCTGTCTTACAATAAGAAAAACAGCTGAACAAACTGAAAATCAATGACTTTTCTTAGACCCAGCAGAAAATTGAAGTCACAGGACAAACTGCAACCCTGAAATCTGGAGAAACAGACAGTTACACAAAATCACATCCTAGATTTGCTTATCAAGAGCAAAAGGCACTGGTGCCATAAACTGGTAGAAACACTTAGGTGGTAACTGACAAATTGCTAGAGGTAGAGTGTAGACTAGTGTGGGAATGACAAAACTCCTGAGGGGCCATAGTCTTAGAGGATTTTTTTACTTCCAGAAACCCCACAAGGTTCAAGGTAAAGAGCTAAGAAAAAAAAATCTCTTGTTTCTGGCATGAAGAGAGGAAACACAATCATTTTTAAGTGTATCCAGAACTTTCTACCTAGCAAAGGGCTATCCCACAAAGAAAACTTTACCAAAGCCTTATCCAACTCCAGGCTCTTCTGGCTTTCCTGTCTCATCTAAGAGAGAGAAAAAAAAAGCTGTGAAATGCTTGTGAAGGTTACAGGCTGGAGACATAGGCACACTAAAAGATTGAGACTTCATCATAGGAGTGAAGAATGCTTCACTTTTCACACCTTGCTACCACATCAACAGGGCTTCAGTATAATAATCATGGATTATAGCTGAAAGACCTGCAAGGGTCGGACTCTATTTAAGGAGATTTGTTTGTTTGTTTTTTGTAAGCACAAAGGAAACAAGGGAGACAAAAAGACACTAGAAGAAATGAAAACTTCTGATACCTACAGCTACAGCAAACATTAAGCACAGCCCAACTCCTGGCCAGATTAACATAAAACCTCATGCTAACAGCCTCTTTGGCTCAGTTCCTATTACTTGATAGATCATGTCCAGTTTAAAACAAAAAAAAATTATAATGTATGCTAAACAAACAAAAACAAAGTCTGGGGAGACAAAACAAGCATGAGAACCAAATTCAGTTATGACACAGGTTTTGGAATTATCAGATGTGGAATTTAAAATAACCACGATTAATATACTAAGTAGGCTATGAATGAAAGTAGATAACATGCAAGACTGGATGGCTAATGTAAACAGAGAGAAGCTCTAAGAAAGAATCAAAAGGAGTTGCTAGAAATCAACAACACTGTAACAAAGAATGCCTTTGACAGGCTCATCAGTCAGTTGGAAACAGCCAAGGAAGGAATCAGTAAAGACTGAAAAAAAAGGAACAGAATATCCAAGAACTGTGGGACAATTTCAGAGTATAACATACATGTTATTGGAATACCAAAAGGAGAAAAAGAAGGAGAAGAAATATTTGAAGTAATAATGGCTGAGAATTTTCCAAAATTAATAGCAGATAACCACAGATCTGGGAAGCTCCAAGAACACCAAGCAGGATAAATACCAAATACTCATAAATACCAAAACTACACCTAAGCATATCATGTTCAAACTACCGAAAAACAAA